CTCTTCCGGTTTCATGCTTACCTGCCTCCTACAATCTTCAAGAATTAAAATGTAAATGCACGCCACTCGCCATCATCTGTCTACCTGAAACCTGTTCTTTTATTTTCCATTTTCCTCAATAAAGTTTTCTCATTTTCTTTCAATCTCACTAACCCTGTGCATCTTGGTGGCATTATCGCCTTGGTTTGGGTGAAATGATATATATATATATATATATATATATATATATATATATTGTGTGATGATCACTTAATACGGGAAAGTGCCAGACACAGAACAGTGATGATTTCTATGTCCACACTTTATATCTGTATCACTAGATATGTTCTAGAGATTTTAAGTAATGTATATTTATCGTTTGCTCCCTGAACAATACTCTTGTCGATGAAACCGCCGCAATTTGGAAAAGGGTTCTGTAGTAACAACAAAAACTCAGTTTTGGTTTGGTGCATTCTGTCCGCAGAAGCAAATCTCCAGTTTTTTATTTACATATAAACAATATGGCCTACACGGTGATTCCGTCTCCTTAGTTCCCGGTTATAACACAAACCTGTCATGTTTCATCCAACTGCCCCTCCATTTTATCTGATTAAAAAAAAGAAAAGAAATGTATTTAACAAATGTAGTATTAGTGATGCAATGGGTGGGTCAGGATGACATTCTTTTTCATCATAATATTCTAGTTATATGTACCGTATCCTTTTAGGACATTGGCAATCATATCTCTTCACAATTTCCTGTTCTTTGTAGCTCTTAATAATGTTTTTTTTTTATTTTGTTATCTATTCTAAATCTTGTCCCGCCATATATTTTCTCAAGGTAGGATATATGTTGTTTTTCTTTAACCCAATCTCTGCTATGAGTATCAAATTTCCAAGCCTTCTTTCCTCCTTATTTGCTCTAGAAATTCCAAGTCTTTTTCTGAGCTTAAGTGTAAGTATCCTTTTTGTTTTCATTTTCACTAATACTTCGTCGTTGCTTACATGGTATTCTCAACATCCCTCTGTAGATCCACATTTCCGCTGTTTCATTTGTGAGGATATTGTCTGTATTCACTGCCCTATAGGAGGTTTGATATTACATAACAACTTTCATTTGTTTCTAACGATATTCTTATTTGTCACCATAAAACTTTGAGTTGTTTTGGAAATTGAAAGAAGCATTGAAAAGTATCCATTCTTACTTCCTTGCTGAAGTTGAAGTTGTGTGTAACTCAGTCAAAATTCGAACAGAATCTTTCTTCGTTCACGGAAAGACAAGTCGATAGAACGTTTGGTAAAATGATTAACAGTGAATATACTGGAAACTAAACTTTGCATTTCCAGGAGAGATACATTTATTTAGATTTTGCTTTCATTATTCCCTCTCATCTACATAATACCGTGTCTATTCAAGACGCAGGCAATCACGATTTTCCGCAGATACCTTTCTCAAACAGCAATGATTTCTTGGGAAAAGATAGTGGAGTGGTTTGTTGTTATTTTCTCCACAGTTTGGAAATCAGAGTTTCCCTTCTGTTAGATTGGTTTCTATCAAAGTCGAATTTGGTTGATTTGTTTTTTACGGTTTATCGACTGTTTGCAGGCTATTTAATGCTAGAAAAAGAGGTCAATTCATACCTTTCCCAAAGGTATTTGTGCGTAAAGGAATATAAAAAACCCGACTGGAATTGGAGCTCCTATTTTCCGTTAATCACTCGCACATCTTAACTTATAGCGCACCTGCTACTCTCATGCGCTTACCAAGTTTTTTTTAATTATTTCACGTAAATACGTAAGTTAAAGAAATTAACTGAAAAATGCTTGTTTTAAGAATGTTATTATTTATTTTTTTAATGGAAATTCTTGTCAGTATCCATCAGTAGTCGATTGACTGACCTCATTACTTCCGGATCAAGAGATACTCAAACATGGGAACAGTTTATTTTTGTTTTTACTGTTGCTTGGACGCAATGATCAAAGGAAATATATAATAAAAATCCGAATCCACGAGGACCAGTCCCGTACATTCAATGAATCAACTGTAATTTTTCTTTTTACACTTTTTAAATGTGTCGAAAATTTAAGGCAGTTGTTATTTGCAGTTTAGTTTAGGTACAACACCACAAGTATGAGACATTCAGTGAGGATCAAACTCAATGAATAGTACGAAGGGTCAAACAGGTAAGCTTATGAATAATTATCGCATGTCGACGCGATCTTGCCAGTGGCAGTTTTAGAGCAGTTTTGAGAAATTGCTGATTTCGTAAAATATCTTATTTTAAAAAATATAAATAAAAGATTTTTTCACTAATTTTTAAGCCAGTAAAAGGCCCAAGAGTGACTAAAGATAGAGTGTTACTGAAAGATGTTGTATTAACATAAGAGTAGGGCATGTGCGAAGAATAACGGTTGGCTGTAGATTTGAAATGGTTGAGATTATAGCGATCAGTAAGCATGCATTAACAACATTACTGAGGCTAAACTTCAGGAGAGCAACGAACTGCGTCTTCTTGGCCTCACGGTTTTCACTGACTTGAAGTGTAGCAACTACATCGAAACAATAGCTGCATCTACAGCAAGGAAAGTTGGGTCATTGTCGTACCAGAAATTTTTTCTCGTCTGTATTCCCTTTGCACATTTAAAAATCTATCATTTGTCTTTGTATTGAATAGTGTTTCTGGTGTTCCTGCTATATATCTCGAGACAAAATCCAAAGAAGGATTTGTAATATAATTGATCCTGACCAGTCATCTCGGCTTCAGTCACTTACTCGTTGACGTGGCGTAGATTTCCTCTGTCTTTTCTATAAATATTTCAACGGCAAATGCTCTGACGATCTTTTTTCCCTGGTACGCCGACTACATAAATTTAAACATTGGCATCTAGGTCCCACCCATTTATTGTTGAAATAGCTTAATGTCACCGCCACTTTAATTCCAATATTGTCTTTTCCCGAACTTCCCGTCTATGGAACTCCCTTCCGTTTACTTGCTTCTCTGATAACTACACTCGTCAAAAATTTAAATGTAACATCCATCGCCATCTTCTGTCTTTTTGAATCCCATTTATCTTTTGTCCTTTCTTCAATCCTCTCTATTCTCAGTTTCACTTTCACTCGATGTAATCCCCTTACGTACTCTCGCCTTGTTTGGATTGAAATTAAAAACATACGAATGGAATGGTGATTATTTGTCCCAGAGTACGTGGACTGGTGTGTCTTAGCTGTGAAGATTTGAACTGATGCAATTAAGGAATGTATTTCGTCAGAGAATTTGAAGTAGAAAAAACAACAGAGTAGCGAAACGCCTACGATGTTTCTTCCGTGAGAAATGGTCTGCATGGTTGAAACTTCTTCGACTGCAAAGCAGTGTTGTCACTTTTGAACACTATCAATGCTAGAACGTGGGGATATTTGAGCACCTCTAACCCGAATATAGCAACGGTGCTCTGTCTTTTGTTTGATCTGATTCTTGTAAAGTTAGAGAATAGCAAAAAGAGTCAGGTATTTTCATTTTCCAAACATCGTTATCGATATAAAAGCTTTCCACTTGATGAATTCGGTGAACTTGAGTGCCAATAGTTTTAGAGACAATAATAGAGTGAATGCAGGAACCCGTATGTATGATGTAATAAGTAAAAGAGTAGTGAAGTGGTGGCAGTCATAGGAAACGGACAGGATCTAATATGTAAAAAATGCCAAAAATATTGCAGGCCCTATCTCTGACATTTTACTGATAAGTGCTGCATGGGTATACCAGGGATATGTAAATTTCAAACAGATAGCGCTACATGAAAAATGTTGTTTAGAGTTGATGCAGAAACAAGTGCATTTGTGATTCAGCACTGATGCTGCTTAACCCATCAGTTAACACATTAAACAAGACACATTGCATTTTATAACGTTTCTTAGTTGTCATCCAGCAAAGGAAACATTGGTTACATTGCTTAATCTGGGATAGAAAAGAACGTCACTGGCTCGTGGGAGATTTTTGCCGTGTCGCTTGCTCATGCGAATTGGGTTTCCAGCTCTTTAGTAAAGTTCATGTGCGATGGAGATGGGCCCAGCCTTTTAGCAGAATGATGGGGACTGTTTAATGGCGTCAGGTATGTTTTGTTGGAGTTCACGAGCATCTGAATCCTATCTTGACAGCTGTAACTGCAGATACAGACCGCTTTACGCTTCTTTATCAACGTCAGGTAGTGATGGTTTGTCACTGTGCGCTGATAATACAAAACTGGTTTCTGGAATACTTCGCTGTCTTCTCGTGACACTGGTAATGCCCATACTCATCACATTTAAGCCCTGCTGCGTATATACTGTATATGTCGTAGTTCGCACTAAAATCTCTGCCACTAACAAACATAACTCGTTAATGGATAAAGCTAAATGCATTTGGATAGCAATATTCACGCCACAGGCAAAAGAAGTAGCTACACATTATTAGTTTGCCTACAAATTTAAGAACATGGGATATATTTGACTTTTTAAGGCGCTTAAATCTCTTAGTGGTATATTGTTTGAATGTTTAACGACACGTCAACACCCTAACCCTGCCGAGGCTTTTCTGTTGGGTGTAGTTTATTATCATACCCTGAACACTTACTGGTATAATCTATATTGTTAACACAATGGTTCGTCCCATCCATTGATGAAGGTTGAAAAAGGAACGTTGTGTAAATGATAACAACTATACAAAGATGAGAGTTTTGCGTACGAACAGTGTTATATAGATTGATCGATATTAGATATTATCTCATTGGAATTCAAATCGATGGAAGCAATCGATGATAAAGGCGAGAAATTAAATTAGCAAATAATCACTTCATGGGCAAGCTATTTATAAACATGACAAATATGAATTTGCGGCACTTTGAACCGGAAAAAGAAGTAATGAAAGTATGGAAATTCATTTACGTTTGGTTCAAGGTCGACTAGGTGATAAAAGCTGCAAATGTACAGTAGTAGGATCTAGAAAATGTTAATTATTCTCTCCACACATAAAAAGGTGTTTTTAGAGGATGCGCCAACATATCTATTCGTAAGTATGTAATAGGCTTACTTGATGAACGCATTCGAGACCTAACTACTTTGTCTAGCAATCACCTAAGTTTTTAAATAGGTACAAATCAATCCTAAAGCCAACTTCTTCGTTAAAAGAACGAGTTCGAACCTTCCCCAGGGCACCATTTCACGAACATTATGCAAGACTATGTCAAGCTTAGTAATTAACGTCACACACACACACACACACACACACACACACACACACACACACACACATATATATATATATATATATATATATATAGAGAGAGAGAGAGAATTTCATGGGAATTTAATGTCGTTAAGCGTTTTTGCCCTGTCTAGTTAATCTAGGCTTCGAGAACTTTACTGAGTAGGTAGGTTGGCTTTCAGACATTTTTTCATATTGTTGTTTTTTCAAGACCTCATCTGGACAAAAGTATTAGGTTTTGGCAAATTGTCTATTCGTTACATAAACGGTTTTCCTTTAATATATATATATATATATATATATATATATATATATATATATATATATATATATATATATATAAAGATAAGAATCAATCCGCTGGATGTCTTTCACACAAGTTGTATTCGCGCGATCTGTGGCTATACTTTGAATGATAGGGTGTTCAATGCTGATCTTTTCGCAAAATGCAACATTGATGGAATTGAGACCTTCCTGATGCAGTTACAACTGGTTATTTTGCAAAGATGTGTGACGACAGAACACCTGATGTCTTTATGTATAGACAGCTTGACAGTGGACAAAGGAGTCTTGGACGACCGTGAGTCTTGGCCGACTGTGGCTCAGGTATAAACCCAAGGTAAATAGCAAACTCTCAGCTGCCAATGTGCCTCATACTAAATTTCAAGCTAGTTGACCTGGAGATATTTGTACTAGAGAGGTATGAGAAATTTTGAAATTAGTTGTATTGATCAGAAAAGACAACGGCGAAAAGCGTCAGCAAATGTTCCTGTGGCTATGTCCCGAGATCCTCGCTGTTGCACAATAGGTGAACTGGTAGGAAGGACACTAGATGGACTGGAGTGTCACATACAACACAAACATAAAAACTGAATGAGGTTGTCGGATCCTCATACGTTGAAACCGATGGAAGGTCCATCATATATATATATATATATATATATATATATATAGACGTTGTCCTAGAATGATGGGACACAATAAGCATCTTGGATTATAAAAAATGACAAAGAGTAGCAAATATAGAGATTACATAACTGATATTTTAGAGTTCAACATATTGTCTAAGATTTGAATATTACATCCCTGAGATGATAACCACAGGTTTTTCTATTTCCTATAGGGAACTGCGATCTCTTTTACTGGCGGTAGAGCCGCATAATGTCCGCGTTTAAAATGAGATTTTACATCGTGGAAGACTAGAATTGCAATCCGTTGAAAATAATGTTTGAAAAACATAGATCGAATGTTTATTGGTCTTGGTTATTTTTGTATGCATATTACCATATTTTATACACATTTCAATATACCATGTAATGTGGAAAAAAGATATTTAATGTGTGTTCTTTTGTATTATAACTTCTAGGACACCAGAATTTTATCAGAAATAGTACCTACCATACTGACAACACCCATTTCTTAATAATGACTGAGATAGTTAAAAGTACTTGAACAAAATAAGAAAAAAACATGAACTTAGGGCAGTTAAGTCATAATTTTAGTCTCGATATACAACATCAAATTCGGAAATTGAAATAATATAATAAAAAAAATTAAATAGATCTTATCGGTTGAATTTAACAAAACTTGGGATTAATTTACGCTAACTAAATAGAACATATCTATCTATCTATCTATCTATCTATCTATCTATCTATATATATATATATATATATATATATATATATATATATATAAAGGACAATGAATACAACACACAACGGCGACAGTCTCTGTCATTCTTAAATCCAATCGCTAGGTTGTTGGGTTTAGAAAGAGTGTTGTCTCTGGGTGTTGAATTCAATTTCTATTTTTACACTTACATACTCCTCCTTATCTGTCCTGAGATATTAAACCATATATATATATATATATATATATATATATATATATATATATATATATATATATATATATATATATATATATATATATAATCGGCTTCTAATGCTCTGGATGGAGCGGCTTGGTGATACTAATGGTTCTCGGAGGAACAGTCTTATGGGTAAGGGAAACTCGGATGAATTCCACCACGGAATATGCGAACGAGCGGCGCAATATCGTGTCTAATTCGTTACCCGTTGGTACAGTTGGTATGATGTTAGACTCATATCGTAACAGTCCGAGTTTCAATTCTCGGTAGCGGATGAGTACTGCTGATGAGTCCCAAATATAGGACGAAACGGACGTCTAGTGCTTTCTGCATTCTGTTGAAGTTTCTTCTAGACTCGATGAATTACTTAATTATAATTATTTCTAATCCTCCTTAACTTCTAACACACACACACACACACACATATATATATATATATATATATATATATATATATATATATATATATATATATATATGAGGGGAGTTGTGATGTCTAATGCAATATTAGCTGTTTCCTTATGAGTCAGCATTCTTTGTCCGAGCAGTCATTTTTACATTCGATTGAAATTTATGAATTTTTAATTAGAAGAAGTTTTCAAAACAATAAGCTTCTCAAGTCCACTAACTGTTATCGCTCCAGTTCTCATGACAGATTCCTTCCTAACCTTTTGTTTGGAGTAAGTTCTAGCGTATACATTTTGATTACTTTTGTTTAATGTTTTCATAATTCACTCTTCATGTTACATGTGATTCCGGCTACATCACATTGAATCACCAATACTCGTACGATCAGCGAAGTAAAGCAACATCGAGCCTGATCAATACCTAGATGGGTGACCGCTTGGAAATACCAGATGCTGGAAGCTGGGATATGCGGGTGATTTAATGGATAACGGCTCGGATTGGTTATCGGCAAGCCGAGTTCCAATGGCTTCGTTGTACTCACGCGCAAATACCTTTCGAAAAGGTATGAATACACCTCTTCTCCCCCAGCTATGGGTTAATTATTAAGACTTATATCACTAAACTATTATTATCTTTAAAAAATAATTCTTACAATCTGGAAATATTTTCTGTTTTTAAAAATCCTCCAAAGGTTTGATAAGCCATAAAAACATTTTAGTTGTTGTTGAATGTCCTCGAGTTATGTGATTTGTCTTATTTGGTACATTTCTTTATTTATGATTGTGTAGCGCCGGTTCACAAGGTTTCATGAAACATGGCCCTCGTTGACCTAAAGGGCTCATTCTGTCGAAGCTATTTTTAATCACTGGCCTGAGAAAGCGCTTGTAGTTTTGGCAGTTCTGAACGTGATCGGCAGCATGTGGAGTATCCTTATCAAAGTTTCCATCTGATGAAGGAGAATCGAAAGTGCTTCATGATAAACGCTAACCTCTGCAAATAGCAGGTTTACGGATAAATTGCATCCTTGGCAATGTCTGGCAAAAGGTCATAGCATCCCGTAAGTATCGAACTTATGACAGGACTTATTGCAAGAAATGAAAGAAAAGAGAGAGCGAGAATGAGGAAAAAACAGTGAGCATTTGCATGATATAAATATATATATATATATATATATATATATATATATATATATATAATATATATATATATATATATAGAGAGAGAGAGTGATAATTAACACCATGAACCGATGTTTTCATGAAAGGACACCCAAAACGAATTACGATTTTGAAAGGAAGCAAGACGGTTCATTATCGTGAACTGATATCACAGTAATGCCATTCGAATTCTCTGATGCAACAAATGTACTTTGTAGCCAAACCCGATAACCTTCGAAATTTCCCGTCCGAAATCTTGATTCAATAAAGTGTAACATATGTCTTCATTTTCATTTCTACTATTCCGCCCTTTATTCGAATTCCCAAACAATGCATCAACTGTAAATAGCAAAGCCAATAAGAATTTCTGTCGTCTGCAGTCATCACACGTCGGCTGGACGTGACTGTCTTATGAAACTGTCGCGACATTGTCTTTTGAAACCGTGGAAAGTAAATGTGATGACATTATTTACAGTCAATGATTGACTCGACTTCATGAATTAGCTTAAAATGTGGAATTTCATGATAAGCAGGCGGACCGTGACCGTCTTTCTTAATTATTTTAAAATATCTTGTCAAACTCACATAATAACACCCGCATTATTTTAATCATTTCACCCTAAGTAAAGGCAATAATGTGACCAGGGCGTAAGAAGTTAGTGAGAGTGAAAAAGAATGAGAAGCTTTTGGTGAGAGGAAAGGACAATAAAAGAACATATTTCAGGAAGGTAGAAGATGGCAATAAAACCACTAAGATGCAAGAATATACTGGGAGTGAAAGAGATTGAGAAGGCTTTAGTAAGGAGAAGTGATTAGAAAGGAAAATAAATGAACAGATTTCATGAAGATAGAAGATGGCTATTGGCGTTGCATATAAACTTTTCAAAATTGTAGGTGTTAAGTCAGTAATAAATCGAAAGAAAGTTCCACGGGCGAGAAGTAAGAAACTATTAGAATAGGAGTGAAGGTTGCATCTAGCCAGGTCAACAGTAAAATGGTGATAACTAGTTGCCAACCTAGAAGCTTAAATTCATGCAGTTGAAACACCAAGGAAGAAACCTTATCAGAACAATTGCCATGAAAATAATTGTAGAAAATACAGAGGGAAGTCACGACACGTTGGTGAGACAGTGACTGAAATTGAGATGCCAGGTCAGGATCGATTATATTTCAGATACTTATTTGAATTTAGTCAAGAGTCTCAAGTTATATTGTAAAAGCTGTAGACCAGATACGGTAGCATTATTCAATGTATGGACGAATGATAAATGTGTAAGATGAAATTTGACGAGGAAAATTATCTGGTACGACACATCGAATCAAATTTCTGAGCAATAGACTTAGCAATTAATTGAATATAGTCACCCTATTTCATGTCATTTGAAAACTTGAGATCAAGGGGGTGCAAAGAGTTGATCTCCTGGAGTTTAGTATTAGCCATGCAGAAAAGGTTCAGTATGGTGATTAATTTTTTCAATAGTTGATTTGTTGTAGATTTCAAGATTCGATTCAAATAAACAGATATCCCGATTAAACTGTTAAACAATAAATGTTAAACTAGTACATACCTAAGAATGGCTTTGAGCGAATGAAGACTGTGGATCTTCGCAAAACTATACTTCTTTGAAATTACGGGAAGGTGCTATAATATCACAAATAACTGTAGCAGATAACAGAAACAATATTACTTTAGAATTTACAACAGCACAACAATACCTAAAATGAATAGCATATGTAACCCGAAGAGAAAATAATGACATAATCTAGATGTTAACATTATACACTTCTGCAAATAAAAGGTTAGGAAGGAAAATCCTATCAATATAGGAAAGAGCGATAAAAGCTGGAGAAAAATGTTTGTTTTAAGAAAGATATTATAATTTTCAACCAACAGCAGTACTACTTACTCGGTCAGTGAATATGATTTGTTTCCTTAGAAGAAAATGTTAATATTACCAATACCATTTCCAAATATTAGTACAATGAAAAAACGTTTTAAACTATAATATTTCCCTATAGCTATAAACGTTATATTTTTTAGGTGCTCTTGATTGGGTCGACATTAGTGTGTTTTTTAAAACAGTGATATCGACCCGAACACATGTTTAGAGTAATAAGAAATCGGTAAAATCAAAGTTATGTCCAGTTTTGTTCCTGTTTATTAGTAGAAAGTTTGAATAATTATTTAAAAGTAAATCTCTCTTGTGTTCTTAGATACGGGCTTTTAGATCCCGTGATGTCTCTTCGACCTAAATGCTTTTACATTGTAAGCTATTTATTTGATAATTACCGGTATCTGAATTGGTATTATTTTTCTTTCTAATTATATCTTCGATTTTCTTGGATGTGAAAATCCTAATATCATACTATTTATTTACAAGTTTTGTAGAAAGACTGTTAGATTTTTGTTAGAAGTACTATTGGTGGTGTTTAGTTTTTGAATTTTGTAAGCTCGCTTTATAGAGTTAAGGATGAAATGATGTGAAGAGTGAAGAAATTTAAATGTTTTCTCTCTGCATTTCTCTTCTTCACCTAGGTATTCTGGACTAAATATTCTAAAGGCTACGATTAAGTTCCTATGACTAATCCTGATTTTATTTTTTGATTGTATTGGGAATACAAATTAATTAGATCGTTTCTGTTGGTGGTTTTACAATAAACTTTAAAGTTTAATTTGCTATTGTTACGTATTAATAAGATGTCGAGGAAATTTATTTCAAATTCAAGTGAGAATTCGATGGTAGCTTCAACCTTAAGTTTCTTTATTATGTCTAATAGATTTATATTTTAAAGATATTATAAAAGAATGTCATCTATGTATCATAGTTATGTGGAGGACTTCTACTTTTGACTGAATGTATGGATTTTTGTATGTGTGTATATAACTCTAGCTACACACATAAAAATCCATATATTGAGTTAAAAGTAAAAATAAAATCATCCTTGATAATGGCTAAAACAATAGCCTAAAGCACTCGGACATACAGAATATTTGGACAATTTCTACGTATATATATATCTGTAAAAGAACATTGTGAATAAAGACAAAAGGAAAATTTATCTTAGGCGACGCGTTTCGTCCTCTGAGGGACTTTATCAAGGTAAAAGCATTTACCTTGATAAAGTTCCACAGAGGCTGAGATAAGTTTTTCTTTTTGTCTTTATTCGTATATATATATATATATATATATATATATATATATATATATATATATATATATATATATATATATAAGTTAATGATTTCTTTTCGGATCTGTATGCAATTGTCTGACTTTCCTAATAATGCAAGCTAAAAGTGTTTTCCGTTTTTATTCATTTTTTCTTATTTCTGCTGCAAATTTGAACCCAAGGTTTCCAGTTCTGTATCTGAACTGTTCAATTCTTATGCAGTTCACAAATTATATAATACGAAGCTATCTACTAAGCAAATGAAAGCTCATCTTTTTCGAATTCAGAGTTATTCTTCTCCTAGACTGCTTGCCAACCACGGTTATTGGGCGCAGTCTAACCATAACTATAGGAAGATTTTCTCATTTTTCTCTCTTTTCTCTTTTTTTCGTTTTTCTCACTTTACTCTCTTCACTCATTTTCTCTCTTTTAACTTTTTACTCATTTTTCTCTTTTCTTATTTTTCTCTCTTTTCTCATCTTACTCAATTCTCTCCCGTTTCTCTCTTTTCTCATTTTCCCCACTTTTCTCTTTTTTTCTCTTCTTTCTCATTTTTTCTCTTTTCTCATTGTTCTCGCCTTTCTCTGTTGTCTTATTTTCTTTCTCTTTTTTCATTTTTTCTGCTTTCTTTTTTGTCACTTTTTTTTTCTTTTCTCATTTTCCTCTTTTGTTTTGTCTTCGTGTCTTGCATTTTTCGTCTTGATTCTTCCGCCTCTATTTGCACCGTTGTTTTTCTAATAATTTTATGATTTTCCTGAATTCCCTTTCTCTCTGTTTTTAATATTACAGTATTTCTTTCTTTCTTTCTTTCTTTCTTTCTTTCTTTCTTTCTTTCTTTCCAAAGACTCCTCCCGTTTCCTACTCGATGTATGAATTTCTTTCAATCTACGGCCATTTCTGAATTCTAAATTTGTTTTTTTCTCCTTTAGATTTCATGTTCCCCAAATTTATTGCTCTTACAACAAACGTCTATTTAACCGACATTGTGAAATTCCTTTTCTTATTCATTCCTCGTCTTTTTTTCTTCCCTCTTCATTTCTTCTCCCCACTTTGCCTCTTAATCTAAATAATTTAAGTCACACTCCTTATAAACCGACATAACCTCATAACATTTATTAACTCGCAGACAAATGCAACCACACAACACCATCCGCTTGAATAGCACAATTAAGAGGTGAAGCCATAGCAATAAAGTCCGCCGTCCATATTGAGCGGTGCAAATCTTGCAGCCGCAAGCTCTTTTTGTCGTATTCCAAACACTGGTGGTTGGACGAAGGTAACAAAGAATCCTAAATGTTCGTATTCGACTTTGGATACCATCTGCCAGAATTTTATCTTCCATTCTATCATGTAATCTTTATCTTATCACTCGACCATTTCTCAATGGATTCGAAAATGTTTCATAAGAATTCCATCAGCCTCTTTATTAGTCTTAACTTCTGCGCCGGCACCAATAATATAATGAACTCATAATACACACACACACACACACACACACATATATATATATATATATATATATATATATATATATATATATATATATATATATATATATATATATCAATAGGTCTGCTGTCGATTTGAAAGAAGTATTTATAACACAAATATCTCTTACTGACATAGTCTCTTTTCTTGTCTATTCAGAAGGGGGTATTAATCATAGACGTAGAGCATAATGCCGTGAAGATTTTATGTGAGGATGCAGCTAACAATTACGTGTCAAGCTGCATACATAGAAGAAGAAGAAGAAGAAGGAGTTAGAGGAGGAGGGGAAAAATAGAAAGAAGAAGAAGATGAAGAAGAAATTAACACTAATAATAAAATACAACCATATAAATTAAGTAATGAATCAAAAATTATTTCGTACATCCGACCTGACCAGCTTCCGTAAACTTTAATGTACTGTTAACTTGCAGATAAACAAAGTTTGAAAGATTTCCACGTGTTTAAAACTTAAAGAAAATCAAACTTGATTTCTTTATTAAATACTATGCGAATCTACTAAGAACGCTTGCTTTTGACACTAATATGACTTTTATGTGGCAGTCGATGTTTTTCTTTGTACCGTAGAATCTGATCGGGTTATTTATTACCTTTCAAATTACAACATACTTTCTTTACGTATGTTTGTCATTCATTTCAACCTGAAGATGCCTAACACGCGCAGGTGAAACACGTTGTCTGTAATAGTTTTCAACTTTGTCGCTTTATTTCCACTCTGTGACACATACAAACACGCACGCATACACACCCACCACACACACACACACACATATATATATATTAAATATATTACTTTTAGTAGATGATCGGATTATTAAACCTTCCCTTGCACACATATTTGTCATTCACTCCGACTTAAAGACGCCTACCACGAGGAGATGAAACGTGTTGTCTGTAAAAGTTTTCAATTTTGTTTCGTTATTTTGTCTCTCTGTCTCACCCACGTACACATACACAGAGACTCACACACACATATATCAGGTATATTTTTTAATCCGACACCATTTCCTACAAACTAATTTCCTATAAACTAATTTTAGTGTGTACACGTGTTTAAGTTGCAATCTTTTTTTTATTATTTTTCTTTAACAGTAAAATTAATAACAACCGGCCTAGATTGTGAAGTCCTTCTAAAGACTTAATGTGCCTGACGCCATTAGAGTTATGACCTGGCTTATGATTAAAATGAATTTTTTTTATAATGATAATAATTGATAATGATAATAATTGATAATGATAATGACAATAATTGATAATGAGTTATGACCTGGCTTATGATTAAAATGAATTTTTTTATAATGATAATAATTGATAATGATAATAATTGATAATGATAATAATTCTCTATTGCCTTGAGCTTTTCAGATGATATGTTAATGATCCGGTCATAATTTTCCTTCTTTTCATTAATTCTCTTGCTAGACTTAACATGGCGGTTAGAGCAGCTAACATAATTCTGTTAAAATGCAACAAATAAATTATTGCCTGTCTTCACATTTACCCGTGTTGAGTGAAGCTAACACTGGGCAATGGCTGGTTAGTTTTTGTAATCTTTCTGAAGTTGATTTTTGTATGTATATTATGATAAAAGTATTAGTTATAATAAGGGAAATAAAGTGGAGATCTTTCCAATTGCTTTTTCATCTGTTTCAATTAAGAACTCTATTCTCCTAAACTGTTTGCTTTATCATGACAAGTGGGCTTATTTTTATTGTTTTGCAATATAAGATTGAAGAAAAAACAGACCGATTGATACTTTCCCTCAAGGGAATTAGTGTAAAGTAAACACAACAATCTTGACTGGAACTGAACTGAGCGTGCTAGTTTTGCTTTTCTCGTAACATACATAAATAAATAGAATAAGATAAACGAATAAGTCTTGTCAAACATGGCGGCCAAATCCTGATAAGATTTTCATTAAACTTCAAATATTGCATGTTGTTATTTATTAATTCATAGAGAAAAGAAATCAATTTCTATATTTCAGCATTTCGTTAGTAAGAGAATCGATTGGATATTGATAATTAGACAGAACTTTAAAAAATGGAACTAATTCTCTGGCCTTTTGAAGGTTACATTCTACTGTGATAAGAAATAAGTCTTATTATAGTTAATCATTTTTCATTATTCCAATTCTAATTGATTTCAAAACTAATTTTTGTAAGATTTAATTAAATGTAAAAGCTTGAATTGTCTTCTTTGAAGCACTTAAATATTTTACATGGATAATTTTGGACGGGATTTTATTTTGCTTTTACGATTTAACAGAATTACAATTCAATGACAGATATGTAGGTGGAGGTTTTGTCGATTTCCTTTTGTAAATTTTAATCATTTTCCAGAAGTAATGTGAGTCAATTCGAGTAATATTTGCTAAAAAGAGAGTGTCACAAACAGGCGAATCTATAATCACATCACATTTGTCGGTGAATTTTCTCTTGAGCTACACTCTTTCTTCGATTTCTTTTCTAGTTTAATCTATAATCACATCACATTTGTCAGAACTAGACAAAGAGGGGCATCAGTTTTACTAGTCAATACATTTATCCTGTTTAGAAGTTGTATATGTATACATATATATTTTAAATTATGTATATTTTGGCAGCATATTTTCATTTCACATTAATTTAGACAAATTTTGTTTATTTTTCTTTCTCTATTCACGGACAACATTTAATAAATTAAAGCCATTTGATATTTTTTACAATTAATCCAGGACAGTCTTTATCACAATGTTCATCACAGCTTTTGGAAAACTGCATAATTTTTGTTATTCATCTGAAAGTTAAATCTTTTACCTGTGGAAAAAATTAAGATTATGAACTTTTTAAATTTCGCGTTGTAAATGAGGGCAATGGTTATTTTTTATATATATATGTTTTTTTCGGACTAATTATATATACGGGTCAGTGATGCAGTAGCGTATTTGAGTTTTAAATTTAATGTCCAATTTATAGTTATTTTTTATTTTTATTCCTAAATATAGCATACCCGCAAAACTATATTTCTTCATATATATATATATATATATATATATCAACGTCATGTTCCGCAATCTTCAGACCATCTATGCTGTGAATATTTTGTTCAGTTCCAGTTTATTGTATTATCTTAACGGTTTAAAGGTGCGTTGTGTTAGTGTATATATATATATATTTATATATATATATATATATATATATATATATATATACCTTTTTGGTGATGTTTTACAGATATTCTTTTTTTGTTTTTCCATTTTAAAATTTCTGATCATTTAGTAAATGTATGTAAAAAATGATTATCACTAGTTTCTCTAAAAAGAAATTTCTTTTCGGATTTCTGTTTGTAATTTTTTCCCTTATTTACAATTATATTTTACTTTTTTTTAAATAATATGACAATTGCTTTAAGGGACAGTCTTGTTTCGCTCTGCAGGTTTTGAAAAATTGGTTATTTTTTTCTGGCATCGTTAAAGATTAAAAGTTTTGTATGTGTTTACTTTTTTCCTTGTTTGTTTTCTTGATAATTTTACATTTACTTTATAAAGACCTATAAAAAGGCATATTTATTTGTTTTCATATATATATATATATATATATATATATATATATATATATATATATATATGTGTGTGTGTTTTTGTGTGTGTGTATAATGACATTAACCCCGAAATCTGTAGTGCAACACCCGTGTGACGATGTTTAGCTGTTACGCTCCAATCTTAGGTAATTCAGAGCAAGAAAAAGATGATTTTTACGATCTCTTTTGGGATGTCATCTCTAAAGTCCAGCACAACGATAAATTAATCCTTACAGGTGACTTCAATGCTCGTGTTGGCAATGATTATCATTCTTGGAAAGGCGTTTTAGGTATTGGTCGTGTGAATTCGAACGGATTACGTCTTCTCACTATCTGCAAGGAATTTGACCTTAATATTACTGATACCTTCTACCAGCAGCCCAACTGTCGTAAGACCACGTGGATGCATCCTCGTTTGAAAGACTGGCATCTGATCGACTACGTCATCACGAAAAGAAGGGACATAAAAGATTTTAAGATAACGCGTTCATGCTATCTATCAGATCATGCACTTCTTCGAAATAAGTCTACACTGCATCTGCAAAAGCGAAGGATAATAAAATCTAAAGTGCCCAAGCGCATTAAAGTACTGCCTCTTAAATCGACTGAAACGGAAACTGAGCTCTCTGACAAACTTGATGCTGCACTTGATTCTATAAACTTTACCAATGATATCGAATCATCTTGGAAGGTTCTGCGGGATGCAACACATTTTACATCCTTGAAGGTTCTCAGCCTACCACATCGTAAACATCAAGATAGTTCGATGACAATAATACAGAGGTTCAGCAGCTTATAGA